TACTTCAACAAAATTTAAACAGGACAAAACATAAGATTTGAATAGATGGAAGAATCATCTCTTTTTCAACTACTAAAACATATTAAATTCTTTTGAAATTAATTTTTAATTTTGATGCAAGGCAATAAACATTTGAGGAATTTAGGAGGAGATTGTCAAAGTGATTCTATAATTCACCTGGAAGACAAATGAATGAAAATTATAAAAACTTTCAAAAAGTAAGAGGGAAACTCTTGCTTTACCAGATATAAATGTCTCCTATAAAGTCATAATAATTAAAATAAAATGATAAACAAAAGTCGATGGATCAATGGAGTGGTTCCAAACAGACAGTAGTTCCAAAACAGATCCTGAATGTATCATCTAGCAATATCATCAAGAAGTTGTTTGAAATAATTTAAGTGATGGTTATGATAACAATGGTTGTTTACTTGGCAAACAATAATTTTAGATACTCACTCTATAAAACAAAGTCAATTTCATATGGACTAAAGAGTTGGATGCAAAAAAAAAAAATCCCACATAAAACCATACAAATCAAAGGAATACAGGTGAATAGTTATCTGATTATGGATGTGAAACAAATTTAAAACTTCATAGTGAAAGATCTCTTAAAGGAAAGGGAAATAAAGTTCACTAGTTATAATAAAAGTCATCTATACATCAAAAATCCTAAAAAAAAAAAAGGCATGAGACTAGTAAAATATTTGCTAAAAATATGACAGATAAAACCTCGCTACGAGCACATAAAAGTAGTGAGGGAAAAAAATCCAGAATCCACTCTCCCTCCAAAAAAGGCAAATATATAAACAAACAGCAGCATAGAAATATTTGAAAACAAAACAAAGAACAAGATGAACATAAATAATAATCAATAAAATGCTAATTAAAATTATATTTTAGCTTTCCTTGTGAAACTGGTCCCAAAGCAGGTTTTTAAATGTTAGTATATTGATATTGGGCAGGAGGTGGTAAAGAAATAAATTGGCACAACCTTCTGTCAAACATCTTGGCAACACATACCAAAAATCTTAAAATAAAGTTTGTATCTTTTGACCATATCTTCTTTTTCTTGAACACTGATGAAAGACACCTGTGCCAAATTCTATGCCATTCCTCCAGTTCAAAGGGTCCATAATCTCTTTATAATAAAATCTTTCTTCCCGGCCTCTGTGACCCCAAATCTGGCATCCATTCCACAGTTCCAGTGCTGTTTCTACAGTGCAAATCTGAATCATGGCATTCCCCATCTTCAAACCCTTTTCCTGGCTGTTCCATTTAGCTACTGCTGTGTAACATACTACCCTAACACTTAGTAGTCTAAAACAAACATTGCTTTATTATATCCACAATTGTGTGGGTTAGGAAGCTGACAGAGCTTGCCTGGCTGTTTCTATTATGTCGTGTAGCATCAACAGTATGAATGGAGGTCATTCACTGCTACTTTGCTGGAAGATGGACAAGTCCAGAGGAGTCAGCTTCATTCACCTGTCTGGCACCTTGGCTGGAAGGCTGGGCTCAGCCGTCAAGGGGAGCGTGTACATGTAGCTTCTCCAGCCTGGTCATAAGATGTAGAAGCATCTCAAAATCAAACAGAAGCAGGCTTTTCTTGTATAGGGAGGGGTAAGCAGGCAAGAAGGAATGTTGTGAGGGAATTGGGCAAGTGTGTGGGGGTGAGCAGATGGCATGATTGGGGCAGCTTAACAACAACAAACTATTTTTTTCCCTCTGTGGTCAGCTGATTCTCAGAATAAGCCATTAAGGGTGGATTTTCTGCACCTTCTTGCTTGCTTAAGCCCAAGGTTACACCAAAGTCCTGTAGGGAGGAGAAGAAGCTTTACTGAAGTTTGTTAAATCAAGCCTATGGGTAAGTAACGGGAAAGGGAAAAAACGTACTTTAACCACCTCACATTGAACATAAAAATTAACTCAAAAAGGATTATAGACCTAAAATTAAAATCTAAGTCTATAAAGCTCCAGAAGAAAACATGGTAGAAATTCTCTGTGGCCTTGGTGTAGAAAAGTTTTCTAAGACAAAAAGGTATGAACCATAAAAGAAAAAAAACACTAAATGGACTTCATCAAAAGTAAAAACTTTTGCTCTCTGAAAGACATTTTAAGGAAATGAAAAGGCAAGCTTCAGACACAGAGAAAAATGTTTTATCTGACAAAGGACTTGTATTCTGAAAACATAAAGGACAGTTACAAGTCTATATTAAGAAGTCAAACAACCTAATTTTAAAAAATGAAGAAAATATTTGATTAAGTACTTCACCAAGGAAGAGATGCAAATATAAAACAAGCATGTGAAAAGATGCTCAACATCATTAGTCATCACAGAAGTGCAAATTAAAATCACAATGGGATATCACTACACATTCATTTAAACAGCTAACATTAAAATAACAAGTGTTGGAAAGGAAATGGTAAAACTGAGACTTATACAAAGCTGGTGGGAACGTAAAAGAGTATCACCTCTCTGAAAAACAGTATCAGCTTTTTAATAAAATTAAACATACACTTAAAATACAACTTAGCAATTCCAGGCCTATGTATTTACCCAACAAAAATAAAAACTTAGGTGTTTGTACAAAACATGTATGTGTTTAGTAGCTGCATTAGTTTCCTGGGCTGCCGTGACAAATTGTCACAAACTGGGTGGATTACAATAACAAAAATGTATTCTATCACCTTAGAAGTTCGAAATCAAGGTGTCGGCAGAGCTGAAGGCTCTGGGCGAGAAACATTCCTCGCCTCTTCCCTCTTCCCAGCTCCTGGTGGTTGCCGGAAATCCTTGGCATTCCTTGGCTGTCAGCTGTGTCGCTCCAATTTCCGCCTCCATCTTTACATGGCCATCTTCCCTCTCTGTGTACGTCTGTTTCTGTGTTTCTCCTCTTCTTACCTGACACCGGTCATATTGGATTTCAATCTCATTTTAACTACTTACATCTTCAAAGACTATTTACAAATGAAGCCACATTCTGAGGTCCTGGCTGGACGTGAAATTTTGGGGGACGCTATTTGACCCAGTCTACCCTCTGGCCCACCAAATTCACATCCGTCCTATATGCAAAAGACATTCACTCCATCCCAATATTTCCAAAAGTATTGATCCATTCCATCATTAATGGGAAGTTCCAAATCTCATTTGAATATCAATTCAAAAAGTTTCAAATTTTGTCACCTAAATCAGGTATGGGTGAAATTCTGGATATGGTCCATCATGGAGCAAAATCTTCATCCACAGACCTGAGAAACTAGAAAACAAGCATCTGCTTTTAAAATACAATAGTGAGACATGCATAGGATAGTCGTTCTGAAAGGGAGAAAAATAGAAGGAATAGTGGGGTCACTTGTCCCAGGCAAGTTAAAACTAGCAAAGCAAATTCCCTTAGGTTTCAAGATCTGAAAATAACCCTCTGGGGCTGGCTGCTCTGCCCTCTGGACCATCTAGGGTAGTCCCGCCCTCCGAGAGCTCTCCTTTCTCTTTGATCTGATAGTTTCGACATTGTGACTGAGTCAATGTATCACTTCCACATATGTACATGCTAGCCGTGACTTTTTCACTGTGATACAACTCAGGTGACCAAAACTGACTTTATTGTTCTGTAACTGAGCAAACCAGTGCTTTTCTTTCCCTTCTGATAAATAGCGAACTTCTTGATCTATTTGTTTCCAGGTCAGTTTAGTCATTTTCAGATATTTCTTGACCTTCTTTAGGAAAATATTCAGTCTAGGGGTTTCCTTCCTGCTATTACTTCCCTTTACTTGTCCACCTCTCTCCGTGGGTGGGGAGAGGTGGTAGGTGTAGGCATTGTCCTGCCTTTGGATTGGGACATCTGGTCCATTGTTGTCTTCTGTCTTTTGTGGGTGTTCAATACCTTATTTTAGCACTGGTCTTTGGTCATTTGCTTGCATACACTGGCTCTGCTGAGGTCATTGCTGGTTTCACTGTGGCCATTGGTCAACAGGTCCACATCCTCTGGCCTGCCTAGTTTCAGCCTTTGTACTTCTCTCCTGGGACATAGAAAATGAACCTTTCTATACAACCCTGTGGGGATTTAAATTTTGCTGATGCTTTTAGGCCCATTTGTCTAGGTATCTACTCAGACTTTTCTCCTTTACTATGCTTAACCCCACCAAACAAACAACTTCTTTACAGGGCTTTCAGCCAGGAAGTGACGCAAGAAGTGCCTCTCTCAAGGTGTTCTCCAAGACTTATCTGAGGACCCTATCATTTCTCTTTGCGAGGATCTGATCTAGAGTTAGGGGTTGAAGACAGTGAACTCTTTCATGATCTCTTCGTCATCTACTGTTTTGCTCTGTTTTCTGTTTATACGCAAAAAAAAAAAAAAAAAAAGTTCCCCCAATGAAGAAGTGATTTTATCTCCTCATCTCATGTAAAGAAAACTTTTATCTTCATGATTTTTCTCAACTGTATTATTTTTGGTTTCAACTTTCTGCTTTGAGTTTAAACACAAAAAGTTCCTTGTTTCGCCAACAACTCAGCCTTCAATAAAAACCTTTATTTTCAAGGTTGTTCTCTCCTCGATGAGTTTTAAGAGCTTATTTTGGAGCTCACCACCAACAGTTTTGACCCTGTGTTCTAGGAAAGTATATGCTCTCCCTCAGAGGGCAGTAAATAAGGTATTTCTCACTTTCTGAGTACTTTCTACCTAAACGATGGCAATGAAAAAGTCTGCTTAGTAACATTCAAAATTCTTCCTTTTTTTCTCTCCCTTTCTCTCTTCTTTCCTTCCTTCTTATCTTCCTTCTACCCATATATCAATCATCTATGTTTATACACACATGTATGCACAATCACAGGTACACATATAAATATCACATAGAATGGCATATTTTAATTTCTTTATACTCTTTCTCATTGGCATGTTGGAAGATAATATCTATTTCATTTTGTTCTGGTAGCTAAATGTTCAGAGATCTTAACAACTATCTATCGTTAATTTGTTTGAGGAAATTTATTGAACTCTCTCTAGATGCCGCATTGAAGCAGACACCTGAGAAGAAAAATATGATCCCTGAATTCAAAAGAGTCACAGGCTATTGGGCATGACCGGCAAGTGAGTATTAGTCAGGGTTCTCCAGTGAAATAGAACCAATAGGATCTGTGTATGTGTATTTTTTAACAATTTATTTTAAGGAATTGGCTCCCACGATTGTGAGGGGTGGCTATTCTGAAATCTGTGGGGCAGATCGGCAGGCTCGAGACCCTGGGAAGAGTTGATGCTGCAGTTCAAGTCCAAAGGCAGTCTGGAGGCAGAATTCCTTCTTCCTTGGGGACCTCACTCTTTTTTTTTTTAAGGCTTTCAACTGATTGGAAGAGGCTCACCCCCATCATGGAGGGTAATTTGCTTTACTCAAAGTCTACTGACATAAATGTTAATCAAATCTAAAAAACATTTTTCACAGCAACACTTAAACTGGTGTTTGGCCAAAAATTGGATACCATGGCCCAGCCACATTGACCCATAAAATTAATCATCAGAGAAAGTAAGAGGAAAATTAAAGAATGATAACTGATAAATTCTTATACAGAGTTATGAATATCTTTTTTGACAGAAATGATATTCTCCTATAAAAATAGAAACTACATGAGATACTCTTATATTAATGCTAGAAATCTGGAAAAATGTCCAGAACACTTATTTCCCTTATTATTTGCCTCCTTCTAGTGGTTTTTATTTTTTGCTTCTTCTTCTTTTTAAAAATAATATAAAAAATAATACCACCAGATATAACTGAAAAAAATTATGAAAGTGGCAGAGATAAAGTCAAATATTTCAATCAGGGCAATAAAAGTTTTGTTTTTTATTAGTCAATGCTGCACCAAATTTCTCACTTCAAAGCTTCAAGGAGAAAAATATGTGAATGAAGAATGTACTGCTAACACTTAGTGCATTGTCTCTAATCCTGTAATGTTGCAAGACAGGTAGTCCACTTCCACTAATGGCTGACTAGACATTTGAGACAAATAAAATGCTGACTAGTGTATTAAAAACTCCAAAGAGCTAACAAGATAGCGTAGAGATACCAGTTGAGGTCTAAGAAAGGATGAGAGACTGGAGAGGTGTGGCTATACACTACACCTGGAAGTCTACAACACACATTACTCATTTGCCAACTGGCTCCCATTAGGCCCTGCTAATAGAGGAGACAGAAAGGCTGGAAGAAGAAAAAGAGACATTTGTTTTTTCCTGTTTTCTTTCTGTTCCTATCAGTGTAACCACAGCAGTAGTTCTTAACCCTGGCAGTAGCAGCAGGTTGGTCCACATTGCCGTTTTTCTCTACTACCAGAACTAATCCCTTCATGCCCCTTCAGAGAGAACAGCACCAGCCAGCTGAGGCCCCTTCTCATAGGTCTGAGTCACCTATCTGAAGTTCCTTTCCTCTAAGCCTCTAAGATTTAGCAATTCCATTCTCATCTCTTTGTTTCCCTAGCACTAGGGGTGGTAAATACTTATGTCTTCATTAGTTCCTTTAGTTTTCTATATCCAGTTAGCAATTCTTTGTATTAAATTCTCTCTGTTAAAAAAGTTTATGGTGGTTTATGTTGTGATTGGACCTTGACTGATGCAGATGTACTTTTGCCCTTGGAATATTTGTAGATCCAGTGAAGGCAGCTGGGTAGAGGTACTGTGCTTTTTGCAGTCTTACAGAATAAAATCCCTAGGCATATCGAAGTTTGGAACTCTGATAAACAAACCCACTCTAATCTGAGATTTAAGTAGGTCCTATAAGTAAATCAGTGCTTGGGTTGGGTCATTTGTGTGGTCCAGGAAACTTCAAACTTTCTTGTTTAAGGTTGGCTCAGACTTCTAGCTTCTTAAGCACTTGGCAGAAGAAAATGTAAATTCTCTATGGAGGAAGATAATCACATCCTAGATATCAAACTATTCTATTTGTTTTTCAAACAAATATCCAATACATAATCAAAGATAAACAGATACAAAAGGATGCAAAATTCTATAAGCAAATACCAGAAGAATCAATAGACAATAGAAGCAGACCTACAGGGACTTCTGGTATTAGAAGTGTCCCTCATAGGCTATAAAAAACTATGTTTATGTGTTTGAGGAGATAAAAGCCAAGCATGAAAGTTTTAGCAGGGAATTGAAAATTATAAAAAGTGACATAGTTAACTAAAAAAAGTCACACACACAGAAATTGTAGAACTGAAAAAATATAATAAAAACAGTCTGTATTAGAAACTCAATGGATGGGTTTGCAATCAATTGAACCAGCTGAAGAGAGATTTAGTGAACTGGCAAATAGGTCAGGAGAACTATCCAGTGTAAATTAAGAAGAGAAAATACATAGAAAATTTCAAAGTTACAGTGACAAAGTCCAACATACATTTAACTTAAGCCTCAGAAGAACGGGAGAGACAAAGCAAAACAGAAGCCATATTTGACAATATATTGGCTGAAAATATTCTAAAATTGATAAAAAACATTAATCTAGAGATGTTAGGGCCCAAAGAATCCAAAATAGGATAAATAAAAGAAATTCGCAGCCGAGAACATCATACAGAAATTTTGGAAAACCAAAGACAAAGATAAAAATCTTAAAATCAGCCAGACAACTTACCTCTAAATGAGCAGCAACTAAACTGATAGCTAACTTCTCAAATGTAACATTGGAAGCACAAAGCAATGGAATTATGTCTTCAATACACTGAAAGGAAGTAATTGACAGTCTAGAAACCTATGACCAGTGCAAATATCCCTTATGAATGAAGGCAAAATAAACATGTTTTAAGATAAGAAAAATATGAGAGAGTTCAGTTCCAGTAGATCCAGTGGAATAGGATTTGTCAACATGTAGCTGAGGCAGTAAGAACATTATACCAGGAGAAAGCTCAGAAATATAGGAAGGAAAAAGAGCAAATGAAGTAATAAAAATGGTGAGTAAATCTAAATGAAAATTGAATATAAAATAAAATATTCATAATTTTGTAGAATGTCTAAATATACATATATAAATGTATAAATCGTGAATCTTTAATATATTCCCTTACACATGTATAATGAAAATACACGACAATAATATCATATCCATGAGGAGGAATAATAACTGAAGTTAAATTGTTCTAAGTTCTTTGCATTCTCTTGGGGGAAAATAAAGATATCAGTTAATACTAGACTTTAATAAATTAAAGATGCATGCTAAAGGGTAATCTTGAAAATAGTAGACATGGGGCATGTAACCTCTAAGGGGGAAGGGTTGGAAGGGGAAGGATTGGAATTGCCAAAAGTAATCAATCTAATAGAAGGTAAGATGAGAGAGGAAAAGGAACCTAGAGTTGGCATGACAAACAGAAAACACATAATAAGATAGCAGGTTTAAACCCATATGTGTGAGTGATTTCATTTAATATAAATGGAGTAAATGATCTAACAAATAAAAACATTTCTGGATTGGATAAAAAAAGAACAAAACTCAGCTATATGCCATGCACAAGAGCCACATCTAAAACATCAGGATATAGAAGTTTTGAAGGAAAGAGGATGTGCAAGATATACCAAGAAATCTTGATTAAAGGTGGCACACTACTGCTTTGCCCAGACAGACTCCAAAGGAATCCTCACACTCAACCCTCGGTGTACAAAGACTTTCGAATGTGATAGACACGAAGCTTTTTCTTGGTCTTGGGCCAGGACTGCAGCCTGGGCTTCTGCAGAGCTGAGCCGCCAGCAACACAAAGACAAGTCATGGCCTCAGACTCCTGCTTATCACCACTTTGTGCAGCCCAACGAAGTGATGTGAACATGGACTTGTTAACACCAAATCAAGATACAGTCACATGGGAAAATACAGAATATCCTACTTGAACCTGGCAACCTTCCCATTTTCAGAAGACCAATGATAGTACTTTTGTTTTTCAAAGAATTATCAAAGGAACAGTAATTATGTACAGTGAAAGCTCTGAAAAAAGTTTCAAGAAGGTGAATGGTCTATTCCCGAAACTGGTTTTACTCTTCTGCCCTTTTATTCTCCATTTCCTTCTTAACTGCTTAACAATTTGGAGGACACTAATCCCAGAAAATAAAATACCTTTGATTATAATTTTGCTGGTTTCTTTTTTCTCAAGCTTTTTCCTATTCTTACTAACCAGAAAAGATAGATTTATCTAATTTCCATATATTATATCCCTTTTGTGTTTAAAAGTAATAAAGGGAATTCAGATAATAATTGAAATTGCCATCTGAATAAGCCACCATTTTAAACTGTATGCCTTTCAATTCCTCCCCAATTTCTGTCACTTCTCAGATATATAAAAAGATTTAGGAGAAACCTGTTTTTCCATCAATACCTCAATATTTCTGAAAAATTTAGATTGCCCATTATCATATAGACATAGAGGGGATTTAAGTTATAAGTAGAACTTAGATTTTATTTTGTTAGATGGTAATCATAAAGCCAGAGGAAGTTTAGTCCTAGTTGTGCCTTTGTTGTGAATCATTCTGTAACTCAATGATTATATTCTTCCCAGTGGTTAAGGCAAAGTTTGATTAGCACAGATGGAGCTAGTTAGTAGAGCCTACTCATAACTCTTTCTTTCTGAAATGCAAATAGGATCATACACTCACTTGCTTAAAATTTTCAACAGTACAATGCTGAATTGAGAAAAAAAAGACCAAATTCAATGATTAGCCTCCCCACGCATATTTCCTCCGCCTGTTCTCAAGAACCTCATGGTCTGCATCTTTTGCAAGCTAGACCCTCTATTTGGAATGCTGGCTCCATTTGTCACTTTCTTTGCTGTGGAATCTTCGGGAGGCTGCTCATCTTACCTCCCCTGTGAAAATTTCTTTTTCTTATTCTCTGGCTCTACATAAAGTCCTTCCCTCACTTTGACTGCCTTAGTACAGCCTTTATTTTACCATATTTTATTGCTTTTTAAATTTCGGGGAAAAGGAAAAGGCACCAGGGATTGTACTTATTAACTTGTTTTTAAAATTCTAGCAACACCTTCTCTAAATAAATATTACTCCTATTTTATACATTAAGTACCTAAGATTCCTAAATCATAAGAAATTTACTGGTGGTCTTTCACGTGTGAGAGTTGACAGAAATTGAAATGTGTACAATTTCAAACAGGAGCTTATGCAGGGAGTAATTACCAACGAGCTATTTGAGTTTCCTTTCTTGGTTTTCATTACAAAATAAATACATTTTGTATCCTCCTAGAAATTCAAATCAGCCTGGCTCCAATGCTTTGCTCTAATTTTTTGTTTAAGAAAGATTAGCCCTGAGCTAACATCTGCCACCAATCCTCCTCTTTTTGCTGAGGAAGACTGGCCCTGAGCTAACATCTGCGCCCATCTTCCTCTGATTTATATGTGGGACACCTACCACAGCATGGCTTTTGCCAAACGGTGCCATGTCCACACCCCGGATCTGAACCGGCGAGCCCTGGGCGGCCGAGAAGCAGAACGTGGGAACTTAACCACAGCGCCACTGGTCCAGCCCTCCAATGCTTTGCTTTAGATCAAACTATGAGCCTGGAGGTTGTCAGAGAACTTCAAGTTGGTTAGGATGCTGTTCACTATGACGTAGAAAAGAATTCAGCATTTAGGGATTAGGATCTCAACTTTATGATCACTGAACTGGAGCAAACAACTTCATTTTCTCATTTGTAAGTTGAAGAGTTTCAGGGGCTAGCCCTGTGGTGTAGCAGTTAAGTTCATGTACTCTACTTCAGTGGCCCAGGGTTCATGGGTTTGGATCCCTGTCATGGAGCCATGCACCTCTCATCAACTCATGCTGTGGTGGCATCCCACGTACAAAATAAAGGAGGATTGGCATAGATGTTAGCTCAGCAACAATATTCCTCAAGTAAAAAGAGGAGGATTGCCAACAGATGTTTACTCAGGGCCAATCTTCCTCACGAAAAAAAAAAAAAGGAGAGGTTTACTCAAACTGAAAAATAAAATCCTTTTTTGCTAAATACAAAAACTTCGCTGTCATCCGTGGGGAGGTTCTGACTTGCCGTTAGGCCTACCTGACCCCTTCATCACCAATGATTAAATCACCTCTGACACTCCACTGAGCACTTCCTGTGTGTTGAGCCCACTTTGTATCATTTAATCTGCTCTACAAATACAAGAAAATTCGGGCTGTGAAAAAAATTAGAGACAATTTCAATTCCTAAGACTGAAATGACATTTAGTTGCACATTTTTGTTGGGAAATACTCTGTGTATACCTGTTACTTATATTCCGTCAGAGTAAGAATAATGGGAAGGGTCTTTGGGGATTTCTCAGCACAATGGACTTTGTGTGGCATCTTCCCCACCGAGAACAACATGGGCCCAACCGTGCAGGCACAGGCTCTGTGCTTGACAGTTAAGCAGTTTTGTCGGTCTGCAGAGGTCCCAGGCGTCTCATCATGCACCTTCCATCCATCTGACCAGCAGAATGGACTTCTTGGCTTTTGTGCAAAATGCTGAAAGATTGAATCCTCATGTCAGTAATTTCCGGTTGCTTGGAAACCATTCTCGTTTTGTCACGGTGAAGGAATTTAGGTCAGCAGTGAATTAATCCCTCGCAAATTAGAGAAAAATAGCTAATCATGGAGTCTAAATTGTCCCGTCGAATAGAGGGACTGTAAAAATGGTTCTCCTGTTTTTTCCCTGGATGAGAAACAAATTTAAAGGCTATCTTCCAAAGAAATTTTCTAAAAATGAGCAATGTCACTTTATAGCAAGAAATGTCTGCTTTTATCAAAAAGACTCAGTGCCTCTTACCACCCACGGCCAAAGCCATAGTTCTTTTTTCCCCTCACATTAGTAACATATAGCAGCGAAGAGGTAGAAGAAATAAAATTGTGTCTCTACGAGGTACCCGAATTCTAAGAGAAAACAGATGGTATTTCAGATCCTTCAGTCTGATAAGAACAGCAGAAACGAACATTTGAGAAACCTCACAGGAATTTATTTCAAGTGATGAATTTTGGTAGGATACGAGGAGGAAGATTTCCAAGCTCTCTCAAAACCCACCCAGGCATTAAGGTAGCGCAGCATGTTGGTGAAGAACTGTGCCAGGCCCGAGGTGAAATCAGATTGGCACGTTCGAGGTTAAGACTCCTCATTTTCCCTTTCCAGGAGGCAGGTAACCAAGAGTGGAAAAGTAAGCAGGCAAATCAGATAAAGCATCCTTAGTTCATCTGACACGGGAAAAAAGGGCACTTTGGGTGGGTGAGAGCCAGCACGTGCTTGTGCCCCCAGAAGTCAGTCTCCTGAGACTTGGGAGGGAGGCCTATAGTAGCCAAAGGCCTCTCTCCACTTCCAGGATTGGGGAATCTGTGTGGTAGAGTAAGGTCTAATGTTTACATTCTGGCACGTTATTTTTGGAGAACGTTGCCTTCTCAAGAAGTCATAAACTAGATGTTAACGGTTATCCACTCTTCCGTCTCCTATTCTGGTTCTTTCAAGGGAACTGGTTTGTCTAAGACTGAACAAACCCTCACTGAAACCTCTCTAAACCCTGCCACAGCCAGGGTGGCCATTCTATCTTGGGGATCCATTTTAGCTGACTCCTGAATACCTGTTCTCTTCTTCTCATGCTCAGCTTTCCTGGTTCCTTCAGTTTCCCGGTTTGGGCTGTGGGCCTTGACTCTCTTCTTACCTCCTTTGATGGAAGAACAAGTTTGGATTTCTTCCACCTTAGCTCCCTTTCGACATATGTCTGCTGTTACCTGCATTTTGCTCTATAGCAATGCAAATACTAGTGACAGTCACCTGTGAGATTCATGTCATGGATCCCCTGCTCTCTGGTTGTCTCCAGCACTAGGGAAAGGAGGCAAGACTAGATCACTCAGAGTCCCCTGGGAGAACGCAGTTTCAGGTGAGACTTGTGAAGCATCAAACATATCCCATCTCTTATAGCACTCTTCTCAACAATGGTTAGTAATAATTAAGAAAAACAGCTGCAATTTATTGAACACTTATGGATATAAGCTTAGATGTTTTACCTATGAAGAAACAGAGTCCTAGGAAGTCTAAGTAACTTGTCCAAGGTCACACCACTTATAAGTGATAGGGGAGCCAAGATCTAGACACAGTGTGCCTATGTGACTCTGGTGAGTTTGTCTCAGGAGTTTTATCAAAAAGCGCATTCCCTCTCCCCTCTGTTCTGATGCCTCTGGCTCTGGTTTGGCAAGCCTCATTTCTTTCCCATCGCCTCAGACCTGGATCCTCTCTCTGCATTAGATTGACACCTTGGTTCTATTTGCCAGGATTTCAAGTTAGGTTCCAAGTTGGGTACTTCCTTTCAGACACATTTGGCTCAAGCTCTGTGGTTCATAAACCAGTCTTGCTCTGTCTCCATACCAAATCTAGGCCTCGAGGAGCCCAGGCCCTGAGGTTTTCCTGGATACTCCCACTTGCCCTCAGGGAGTAGGGGCAGTGAGGCTGACCTAGTTTAAGAGAGAATCAGGCACAGCCAGGAAGGCAGAATCCAGGCTTTTTCGAGAGACCCACCTTGGACAGAAGCAGTCTGTGTAAATTTGATGCAGCAACTTCCTTCATGACTCTTTCCTTTCCACTTTTCCAGGGGCAGAATGATGAAGCAAAGAGAGAATGGGCTTTCAAGTCAGACAGACCTGGATGTGAACTATGGATCTAAAAAGTTGTATGACTCCAAGCAATTTACTTAAGGAATTCGAAGTTCAATTGTCTCATCTGTAAAAACTTCTAGAATCTGTTTGAATTAAATAAGATAATCTGTATGCTCCAGCTACATGGTTTCTGAATGACACGGTCTTGAAAATGTTAGTTTGGCTGCTTCTTCCCAACATCTGAACCATCTAATCTTGGCTCTAGCCCCTGCGTAGGAACTGGGCACTAGAATTAGTTTCTGTGTTGTCTTTCCCTATTACATGTATTAGTTTTTACTCACAAGCAGCAACAACATCTAAAACATTAAAGGTAAATACTAATACCTTAAGGTAAATATTAATACCTCTTATTTCAGCTCCTCTGCACTCCTCAAGTCACTCACTGACTCTTCCCACACCCCCAAAGTCTTCCAGGTCTTTCGAGTTGCATCTAGCTATTGAGAAGCGAAGGTTGAGTAATGCTTAAACTTCAGAAGGTTGTAATACTGGTCTTGACTTCTATGCTTAAAAAAATATGGCTCTCCCTACTTCTTTCACGTCTGAGCCAACCTTATCATTCCTTCTCCCTCCACCTGCTTGTTTGGTCAAAAACTGATCTAAGTGTTGCTGTGAAGGATTTTTTAGATATGACTAATATTTAAATCAGTTGACTTTGAGTAAAGCAGATTATTCTCCATAATGTGGGTAGGCTTCATTTAATCAGTTGAAGACCTTAAGAGCAAAGATGGAAGTTTCTGGAAGGAATTCTCCTCAAGACTACAGCATAGAAACCCTGCCTGAATTTCTGCCTTGCTGCCCTGTGGAATTCAGACTCAAGACTGCAACGTCAATTCTTGCCTGAGTTTCCAGCCTGCTGGTATGCCCTGCAGATTTCAGACTTGCCAACTCCTTCAATCGCATGAGCCAATTCCTTAAAATAGAGCAATCTCTCTTCTCCCTACATTTATATTTTTTACTGATTTCCTTTCTTTGAAAAACCCTAAGACACAAGATAAGCTGTATTCTAAACACCTGGGGAACTTGCTAAAAATGGAGATTTGGTGAACCCACTTTATCTCTGGGATGGGACCTAAGAATCTATATTTTTAAAGAAGCTCCGCTCCCGGGTGATTCTGATACATGGCAAAGCTTAGAAACCACTGTGCTAGAATAATAACAGCATGTATGTGGAGCTCCTTCTATATGTGAGTCAAGCATTAGGTTTATTACCACTTATAACCTTATGCAATCCCTGTATGAGATAGGTAATATTTATGAGATAGGTAATAGTAATATATCTATAAATCAGATGGAGATATTAAGGGTCAGCTGGGCAGATAGATTAACACCCTCAACCTAATTGGGATTTTCTGTCTGCTCAAATCAAGAGCTTCTATATAATTACTGGATGCCAGCTGTCCAAGAACTGCTGTAAAGTCTACCAAATTGATACTTTTTGTGGAAATCTCAAAAGACCTTGCTTAAAATTTTTACCTAGTTAGAGCTGAGTCTATCTTAGAAAGACATCCAAAGGAATTAAACATTGTATTCCTCAATGTAAACGATAGTTTCCGATAGAGTCATTGCACCGTTCTTTTCTCACAGCTAGAAAAAAACTAAAAAATCAATTGAAATAACGCCTTTGTTTTATAGATTAAGAGACTTAGGAAGGCTAAATGGCTTAAAAAATTGGGGGAGGTTGAAATGTTTAACCATTTAAGCATTCTCATTTGTCTAAAAACATTGATAAAAATGATTTTAATTTAATTTCCTCTCTTTTGATTTTTGTAAAATAAGCACTTTTTCATTTTTGAGAATGGTATTAAATGAATCTTACCGAGGCTCAAATACATTCCTGTGAATTTTGTTCCTGCCTCGAAGCGGGCTTAATCTGAAAGTTTGCCAATGCGTCATTTTCTACTCATGAACTTTAACAAACAATGTGAAACTTAGAAAAAGCCTTACAAAGTTAATTCAAATAATCCCTAGTCAGAAAAAACTAATTAAATGTTAATATTTTTTATGGCGAAATGGAGACTAGCCTGATTTAGGGGCACCCTCCAATGTTCTGTCTGCTTCAACTCTGGAGAAATTCCAGCAGAGTCTTCTAATGGCTGTGATAATCACAGTGTTACGTCTCATTCCCCACAAGAGGAAACCATTATAAAATAATCGATCATTTCAAATGCAGTCATGACAAAATGATTAACTATTAATCAGGAATCTTAGTGATTAGATGGGCTCACAGAACAAAGTAATTGTGTCATCCATTTGAAGCTGTGGGAATTGATTCTAGAAAAACCACAGTGTCTCAGGATTGAGTTGGCCTTGGGTAAAACCAGGAAAGACAACATGTTTTATCCCACACTAATGCTTCTCAAACACTGGTGTGCATCAAATCACTGGAGGGCTTGTTAAAACACAGATGGCTGGGCTTTATCTCTAGAGTTTCTTGTTCAGAATATCTTGGATGAGGCTTGCTAATTTGCTTTTCTAACAAGTTCATAGCTGAGGGTAACGCTGCTAGTCTGGGAACCACAGTTTGAGAACTACTGCCCTAGTAAACATGCTGCCCTAGAAGAAAAAATGTATTACTCATCCTTGTATATCCAAAACTAATATGCCACATTTTCAAATTAGTGAATGAATACAATGGTAATTAACACATATTGAGCATCTACATGGCGTTTACTAGGCCTTATGTAATCGGTCATTTAATTCTCTCAAGAGTCCTCTTAGGTGAGTACTTTTATTACCTCCATTTACAGATGGGAAAACTGAAGATAAAGAAAGGTTAAGTAAGTAGCTTGAAGTCACATAGATAGTAAAAGATGGAGCTTGCTTCTGGGCCTAGGCAGTCAGACCCTAGAGTACAGCGTTGACCTTTGATCTATGGATATGCCTCTCAAAGAGACATTATCACGTAGTGTCAAGAGAACAAGCTTTGAGGTCAGACAGAATTGCAGTGATCCTTAACTTTATATCACGTTTACAAACTATAAGTGACAAATTAATACCTTTTAACTTTAGTGTTCTTATAGGGCAAATGGGGATAATATCTATCTACGCAGGAATATTGGAAAATAAAAAATAATGTATTTAAAACACTTAGATAAAGGTCTTGCATGTGTGGTGATCAACAAACGGTAGCCATCATCTGCTTGCATCAACTGTAGCTCTAGATACATCAAGAATTAACTTCTCAATTCTATCATCCATCCATCTAGCCAATTGTCATATGTTAAACAGATATTATGAAACAAACATTGAAATGTTTTCCAAGAGCTGTAGCTCTGTAGCTATAGATCTATAAATCACTAACATTCTGTAAACACTAATGATGAACTGGGTTCAGATAGAGACCAGACAACTGATGGATTGAGACAGTGTTAACCAATTCAGGTCTGAGGTTTCTACTGGAGCTGTCTTCACAGCAGTCCCTTTGGCCTACCCACTTCAAGTGCAAGCCCAGCATCTGTCTATTCAGTCTTTCAGATCAAATGGCTTTTTGAATTTTGGTTATTGCCAAGACACAGGCAACGTAGCATATTTAACAGATGGCTCAACCTTTAAGATGTTGAATCTACTTGTGGAAAGAGTTTCTCCTTGCCTCCTTTGGCTGCAGTAAGTTTGCCATATGGTACACTGCAGCACTGCAGGTGTGGTGCTCCCCAGAATGTGATTCATGTCTGCAGATAGTATGGGGAGATTTCCATAGCAACAGGCCACCAAAAAATGAGACAATGAAAAGTCTATGTTATATAACAGGGTTTTTTGTTTTGTTTTCGTTCCTATGCTGTGTGGGCAACTGGTTTGTATTTCTTATGGATTTTAATGAGGTAATACACTCAATTTCATAATAAGTTTCTCCTATAGGTCATGCCACAAAGAAAGGAACACAGAAACTCAAAAGTACCTGAACTTTCTATCATCAGTTAATCAAATTTCAAATTCAGATCTCTTTATCTTATCCTAATTATAAATCCAGAAATGTGCTTCATAAGTAATCAATAAAGAACAAGAAAATGTGGTTTGATATAGAATTTTCTAATATTTGTTTATCAATATACATTGAGTACCCATTGTAGCCACCCCTGACGCAGGAAGGGTTAATAATTACTGCAAAAGGCTTGCCAACAAACTGTGACCCAGAGGTGAGGAGGCCGGTTAGCCAATGATGGGTAAGACCTCCAGGGGGAGGCAACCTAAGCCAGGCAACAGTCGCCCGGGGGCACAGATGGAGACGCGAGATCAGGAGCAGGAGGGGCCATTGCCTACGAGGGCTTGCATGCTCCAAGATAAAATATACGAGCACAGCAATAACATGATAATATTAAAACAGAGGCCAAGGGAGGGCTCCTTGAGAAATCACTAAGAATTCTTGGCATTCGCTAATTACATTGTCCAGAACACCTGTGTATGTTTAACAGATGTAAGCTATGTATATATTGAAACACTGGTTATGATAAACTCAGAGTGGCCATCAGCCCTCTCCACATCTATCCTGATGCGTACATTGGACTGTGACACCGACACCCATTATAAGCAAGACACTGAGATGAACAACAGTCTTTGTCTTTGAGAAGCTCCAAGTCTAGAAGGGAAGAAAAACACAAGCAAGTACATTCACTACATTATAATTGACAGATATTGTGCTCTGAGCAGCAGCAGGATTGTTCTTATTGATAATGCAGGAGGTCAGCTTCCTGGATCAACCTTCTCTGATGAAACATCTTAAAAATCCTGAATATAACATTAAAAGTAAAATTTCAGCACTAATAAGCTCTCAGGAAAGTAAGAAATTCTCAGGTCAGTCACCGATAAAGAATAGCAATTTAACTTTTTTTTTGGGGGGGGGGAGTCACCAAGTTACTTTATTTGAAGGAATGGTACAAATGAAAGAATTTAAGTAGATGTTTTGGTACAACTTACAGAAAAGATAAATGTAACCCTAACATTCATGCGCTGCCTGGTGACCAGGGAAGTCCTCTCATGGCTATGGGAAACATCCTAAGGCTCAGTTCTTCCCATCATTGTCTTCCAGGGTGTGCTTGTCAAAGAGATACCCTGCCATGCCAGATTCTGGGGGCCCCATAATGGAAAAGTTGGTTATAGTGGTCATCCAATTCTTTGAAGAAT